GCAGATCATATTTTCACTACATTCAAACATCATTAGCTCCAGTTTTGCACTTGATTAGAAATATTTTATTAGTGACAAATACAAAGTATTCAGAGGATGTCGAAATCGGTAAAATAAACCTTAGAGAAAGAAGCCAGCAATTCTTCACTGTTCTAGTCTTTTGGTTTCACTGGTTTGATTTGTATGACAGCTTTAGTTAACACGATTGTGTCAACTGATTTTCAACAAATTTAACGTATTGTTTTCGAATTGCCTCTTTATGAGTAAAGAAGTATGAATTATCTTTTTGAATTGCTTTCGGCTGTTGAGAAAATTTATTTTTTCTAAGTATTACGCAAAAAAACGAATTTCTCTTCGTCACTTTAGATTTCCTCTATCAGAATCACACTTCTTTCGGATGAAAATATCATATAGAAAATCAGAATAAAAAGCAAGCGGATTCAATTATCCTTTCTGAAATTTCCAGATTTATGAGAAAACCTACATTTTCGTAAATAAAAATTCGAATAAAAAAAACAGATATATGAAAAAAATAACGGATGCACGTATACGATGAGCTTTTGATTCTGATTCTGAATTTGATATTTTCATCACAAAGAAACGTGATTCTGATAGAGGAAATCTAAAGCGGAACAATTAAAAAAGATAATTCATACTTCTTTACCCATAAAGAGGCAATTCGAATACAATCCGTTAATTTTGTTGAAAATTAGTTGGTACAATTGTTTAAACTAAATTTCATAAATTCCTATAATGCCTATATAATATGCGACAAATGTCGAGACAATATTTCTAGAGTCGACTATAGTCTTTGAAACATTAAAGATCATATGCTAAGATAACAGTCGAGAACTTACATGAGGTATACAGTGGGTACCAACATTGATCAACCACCTTAATCAATTTTTTTATTTTGTTCATACCTCAGAAGCTAAATAAGCTAGAACCGTCTGTTTTTTGTCACAGACTAGTTCATGGTCTGTAGTCTACGTATACAAAATTTGAAGTCAATCTATTGATATATTCAGTTGTTATTAGCAACATAATTACGAAATGCCTTTTTTCATTGTTCCAAAATTGATCAACCACTTATTGTTCATAATTCAATGCGCGCCTATTTTAAAGAAAAATTTTCTTTTTGACACACCATTCTGAAGAGTAAATTGTGCTCTACACAGTACACTACTTTTTATTGCAGTTTCTTTTCAGAAAAGATCGAATAAGAGCGACTTTTAAAGCATATCGAAGGTTTTTGACAAAATGCGATTTTCTCCTCTATTTCTCAGCCAATATCAATTTTCAATGCACCATTAGAAAGAGCGTTACAAACTGCACCAGAGAAGTTGTTTTCACAATTATTCTATCTTAGAAAGTTGACTTGGTAGATTCTTATGTGCACCAATCATGCATAGTGCTCCTTCTATTCTCTCATTCGAGCATCGAAGATGGCATAAAAACTTTTTTTAACATTACAAATTTGTAGAGAATTGCTTTCTCTACAAAGTTCTTCT